CATTTAAAATGTGTAACTAAGGATAGTTAATGACAATAACCTCTCTTTATTAGGCTGGTTTTCATCAGAGAACCACAAACTACAAAAACTAATTTTCACAAAACCCTGTGGAGGCAGAACAGTAACAGCGGTGCTGGGGAAAATGAAAGAGCGATTTCTTAATCACTGTCCACGATCACAAAGTCAGCCAGAGACCCGAAAAGGCACTAGGAGCCTAACCACCAGTGGATCTCAACCTTTGTAGACTCAAGGCACCTTCCATAACTTTTCTGAATTTAGCAGCACCCTATTTCAAAAACAAGCTTACTGCAGTGAGTTTCTGACTACAGAAAAAGAGCAATTCTTCTGTTGCAAAGAACTCCAAAAGCCCACAACAGGTCAGAATGTGTTTGACACACTGGATTCTTACTTGAAAACTGTGTTTATCTTGTGAATCACGTGTAGGTGGTTGCACGCCTAACAATGCTAATATTATATATGTCACCTTATAAGGATCTTGTGCAATCCCAGTTGAGAATCACTGCCCTATTCAAGCCACTACAGACTTTTTCCTCTATAAACATGCTTATGGATAACAGACAAGGAAAAGGGGGGAAAATGACATTTTCTGCCCATTTCACAGTGAGTGACTTTTATAAAATGGGTGACATGACACTATGAGGTGTTAGAAATGTGTCTGGTACAAATCACTTTTAATGAAAAGGGCATATTTGCCATATATTGGAGGCGCACTGGTCAATTTAGGCCCCAGGTACATGTTTTGTTAAAGAAGTTTAACAGATCAAATTTTTTATAATTAATGAAAAACTTTGATGGGAGATTAAGTGTTGAAAGCTCAAATGCAACAGGGTAAGAATCAAAACAGATGAGTTCAGCTCCATCATCCACAACAAATATATGAACAAGGACTGATGCAACACACAACGCAGCACCTCCTCGTCCCAGCTGGGCCAAGTCTTTTACTGGGCCCTAGTCTGTGGTCCTGTTCCCAATCCTCAAGATCCATCAACAGACTAAAACTAGCTACGCCTGCCAACATCACAAGCACATCAACCTCCGCTGCCCGCCAAGAAAACTGTGATCTATACAGTGCCACAGCCCAAGATGAGACACACAAGAGCTTACATAAGTGCCTTCAGTAACAGAGATACTGGCTGTGAAACTAGCTTCTGTATGTGAGCCCATGCCTGACCACGTTCACCATTCCAACTACATGTGAAGACCCTCCGCTCTAAGCAAGCTGCCCCCTCTTCACCAGGTGAGGTGCCATGGAAGGCAAGGAAGAGACACATGCATCCATAAGATTTTTTGCAGCTCAGCCAGAAGTTTCTGTTCCAGAAAAGGCAGAAGAGCAGAAAGCTCCACAAGTCCCTTAAGACCTTCACAAGCACTCAGGCACTATGGTGTTTGCTGTCATGAAAAATCCTAAAATAGAAAGGACACAAGCAACCTAGAAGTGGAACTTAAATGGGGATTTCAACTCTTGATTTCAGTAATATCGGCACTAACTAATAAAATGGGAAAAAATTAAGTCATAGGATTGCCTTGGCAGTGTCCGTCTGATGCAAGCTAAACAGACTTGCAAGCCAGAAATAATTGTAAAGAGCAGCCAGAGTCAGGCATCAGGAGAAAAGAATCTCCTAGATATAGGAGTCATGATAAAAATAGGCTCGTGCACACAGCAAAACTTTGATAGTAGCCAGACAAAAGAATGGAGCCTAGAGCTTAGTCAAAGGACATCCGATTAAAACATCTCACTCTTTCAAAAAGTGCCAAAAAACCTGCACCAAATTCCACAAAGCGTTCATGTGATAATGGCCTGCTCCCTAAGCCTGCCACCACCAACCTTTTCTGGGTCACCTCGTGTACAGCTGGAACACAAGTTGTACTGGGGATGGTTTGGAGGGTTGCATCAGGAAGCTCCATGTGCTTGGAGAGTTTCACAATAGCTCCAAGCACATGCTGCACCTCATGGCTGAAAGCAGCAGCACAGAGCACAGGGTGCTTCTCAATAAAGATCCAAATTCTTCAGCGGGAGCCCCTTTATTATAGCACAGAGCTCTCTGGGCATGAAACACCTTGAACTGCTTTGTTTCCCTTTTGCTTTTGTAGGCAAGTGTCATATTTGATATCTAGCACTTACGACCAAGGCCACGTGCACTCATCAGTAAAGCTGTCACTTTGATAGCCACTGCTTTGAGTTTGGCACCCACTAGAAGACCTCTACAACTGCGGCAGCAGAATTATAAACCAATGTTGGTAACACAAGATTTACCATACTAGAACTACCTGCTTTTTATACTATAAAATGATATATTTCAAGTATTTAGCTTTAATACATGTATGCTGAAGTGACAAGGTATGTTCCTATGTTCTCAACATGTTACAAGCAGTCTCCAGTAAAAAGAAGTTACAGCCTTGACTTTAAACTCACCTGGAAGGGCAGGTCCATGGCACTGTTCCCAATCTGATTCACATTTGGCAGTGACCCTCCATAGTACTGGCCACGAGACTGTCCCAACTGCAAATACTGTGTTTTCTGCAGCTGTAGCTATAAAAAACAAAAAGGGAGAGACAATATTATGGCATTTTTAAAGAGTTAAAATGTACCCAACTATGCTCAGGCACTTACTACCCAGAACATCTTCCTCCTCAAAACAGCATGGATTAGGAACACTGGCACCAGGGCACAAAACAAAGTTAATTGTCTATGATGGACAAGATGAAAGGGGGTAGCTTGACAACTCTGTGCTGATAGATGACAGAAAAGAATCAGCTCTTCAGTCACTGATCACACTCAGGTTTACATCAACAGCTCATAAGGAACCATAAAGTACTCATCTCAGCAGCTATATTCAAGGACCAGAACTTAAAACCTTGCATCAATGCCCTGTTTGACCACACAAATGCCAAAAATGCAATCAAAAAGCTCAATCACATAATACATACAAAGTCATCCTCATGTAGAAGTATAAGCGTTTAACCAAACTTGCAAAGCTTCCAGCATCTGCTCTTAAACAAACTGACTTTGTCCAAGTTGTTTTTGCTATGTAGGAAATCCTCTTACTGTGAAGGAGCCAGTTTCTTAACCCTGGGAACAGCCCATTAGAAAGCTGCAGAACAATTGAAATTTTACATTCTGGGCACGAAAACTAATTCCTCACAATAACAGATTTGTATGAGAGTCAAAAACGTGGCAAACAGCACGGTTTAAAAGGATGAAGGAAAACCTTATTTTAAAGAGACTTTTTCAAATGGTGTAATCTCATTTTTATTAGCAGGTTCTTCCCATATGTTCATTATGAGATAATTTTTGAGAAGGCAAAAAAAAAAGAAAAGAATGTTTTGGACACAGAATTAAATTTCAATTTATTTTCACTGCCATCTCGTTCTCTCTTAAAAACATTGTCCCTAACCAGTTTAAATTAATGGAACCCTCCTGCCTTTTAATTTTTAAGATACCTCCCCTCTTTACAAGAAGTTGTCTCTAAATAATATTTATCAAGTTACTAACACCAACATTTTCAGTCATTTCTGGTTGACCTCTGGACTCCTTTTGCAAAACAAACTCATATTTTCATGTCAGACTGTCCCCAAGTCCCAATTCCAAACTGAAGACGTACAGTCTGGAATCGTTTAAATACTCAGGGAAGATCTGTTTATCCCACATCCCAATGAACCGCAATTAAGATCATCTCACCAGGACACCAGTCACATAATATTCCCTCCTCTCATTGTGTACCTATATTTTAGGGTACATTGCTCCTCATTGTTGGCCTAATGACTGTTTTTATATTCTGAGAAGCAAGAAAGACATTCCTGGATTGGTAAGAATCAGTTGTTTAAAGTCTAAATATTCAATTCTTGGACTAGATGCAGTTTTGGTTGCTAAGGCACTGTAGTGTGTACATCAACAAATCTGTCTCAGTTTCATTCAAACCTCTCAAAACCGTTCTCTTGGAACATCAGAATTTTGAAGGACGTGGTCTGGAAACGCCATAAAAATCTGGCACCCCAAAGCAGGATATTTCCTCACACCCCTCCCCCCCCACCTTTAAAATGTCTTTGTTACAGAAAGGCTACATTGGGACTAGTGGTCTTGATTTTAAAGGGCTATAGAAAAGACCAGGCAGTTAACTGAAAACATCAAATCAAAACCAGGAATTTGTTTCCACTCGTAAATGGAAAAGCATTCACCACAAAAGGACAATTCCTAGACAAACTAGTAACAACACGGTCATGGCTTCTGAGCAGTTTTGAATATAAATAAATTGCCAGCACAATAATGACAGCAAAGGAGGCAGAAAGAGGCGCTGACTCGCTGGTGAAATGCTCAGGACACTAGACGGTGCTCCCAAGCCCCAATTTCAAAATGCAAAGTTGGTTCTCAAAAGGAAAAGGCACAGTCATAGCAATACATGCAAAACTGTATGGGTGGTGGGGGGTGTTATCTGCCTGTCCCTTAATAGCACACACTCTCCAAGAGGTGACAGTTTGTTCTAAACCCCAGTCGACCAGGGTCACGTAAATGTTATTTCCTTGAAAAAAAACAACCTGACAAATGCAAAGAATTTTCTATTGCGCAACATTTACTCTCACACACAGAATTGTTCAGTCAGAGACACAAGAAGTACAACAAGAGCGTAACAACTGGGAACCAAGGGGTCTGTGCTTCCAGCTCCTTACAAGTGAAGTGTGAACCCCGGAGCGGCAAAGACTGAGTGTTCACAGGCTGCAATGTCAAGATCAAGAGGGTGTAAAAGATCCACATTCCACCTAAAGAGGAGAAACAAGAGGATCGGCATGGTCTTGTGATACGAGCTTACAATACTGGCTTCTCAGTTACAAACAACTATTAGGGATGCCCTCTGTACCAGTGTCACCTTAACTAGTCAGGGAAATAAATACATTCAGTCCTCCAAATCACTGGTTTGCAGCACAAACCAGAGTGAAACTCAGGCTGTTCTTCATCTGCTCTGTACATATATAAAAGGGATACTAGCGTGGGATTGCAGCCAAGTACTGCAGAAATGAAAGAATGAAACAGCCGATGGCCTGCTATAAAAGACCCGATCTTAAAAATTCTGCATGGGTTTTGCTTTGAATTCTTCATTAAATTTGGGGTACATCCCACCATTTTTATAGGAGACAGGGGGTGACCACCCTGTCATTCCCACACAGCTTTCTGTGGAAGGAAGCTGCAGTAGGGTAAATGAAGTGAATTAATTTGCTTTACTCAAACGTGAAACACTTCTTCCATTATTCATGTATCATTACCTTGGATATTACAGCAGTACCCAAAACGAGCTTCCTAGAAGACTGTGATTTACCAATGCTACTTTGAACAAACTGCTGGAGATTCATGCAAAATAATTTTTGAATTCTCACCGTTTGTTATTGCTCTTAAGTATCAGTAATACTCCAAAATGCACTTTTCACTTATTACTATTCACTTTTTTCCTCAGCCTCTGCCATTTTAAATGACAGTATAATAATAAGATACCTGCAACAACAGCTGTTCTTACCCAACGGTTAGGAGAGCACAAAGCTGCCCAAATACCTCATCACCGCTCACTTTTACTACAAAAGCAACAATTTGAAACCACTGGGAAATCTGTGACCCACTGTCATTCCCAATATGACTTGCAGCATAAATTAAATAAATAAATATGCCTCATCTAGGCACTTCCTGAAGTTACTCAGCATTACCTAATCCATCAATCATCTGAGAGATGACTGACATTTAAAAATGAGTAGTACTTTTAGGGTCCAAGCATTTGGCTGGGGTTTCAAAAAAAATATAGCTTAAGACTTCTAGGACAAAGGCCAGGGGGGAAAAAAAGATACGCAAGTTCCACAATGATGCTGTGTTAGTGATTTAAGTTCAGGCCTAGCCCAAATGGGGATACTTTTCCTCTGTGGATAAGAGGCAAGTCAGATGAGACAAGACATTAGAACAAATACTTCCTCTCTTCCTATGCCAATGACGTCAGTAGGGTCTGGACTTGTTCAATAAAGTGCACAAAATAAATTGAAGGTGTAACCCCAGCGATTAAATAAAGCAAGTTGGATTCTTGAAAATACTCTAATCACCCCTCAAGAAAATAGGTCTCTGAACAGTTAGATGAATCTCAAATCATTTCATAATTCCCACAGCAACCTTGCATACTGAGATTCAGCAAAACTAAGGGCAGCTTTTGTTATTCAAGTTCAAATAAAAAGAACGATGTGGGGTTCTCCAGATATATTAATTTCTTGTTTCAACAGACCTTTCTGAATTGACAATGTAAATTTTCCATTGCTATGTTATGTATCCATGGTCAGCTCTGCTTTTAAAAAAAATAGTAGACTATACTAGCTATTCCTCGATAAAGTTAGCATGTGCACATACTATTCCCCTATTGAGCCTCATCAGATTTCTTTTGGTCCAATCCTACAATTTGTCAAGGCCTCTCTGACCTTCCTGATTTTAACCCTGCATGCCTGAGCAATGCTCTTATACTCCTCCCTAAATGTCTGTTCAAGTTTCTGCTTCTTGTAAGCTTCCCTTTTTGCGTTTTAGCTCACTGAAGAATTCCTTGCTGAGCCAAGCCAGTCTTCTGCCACATTTGCTACTCTTCCTGCACATCGGGATGGTTCATTCCTGTGTCCTGAGTAAGGTTTCTTTAAAATACAACCAGCTGTGCTAGACTCCTCTCCCCCTCACACTGGCCTTCCAGGGGATCTTGCCCATCAGTGCCCTGAGGGAGTCAAATATCTGCTTTTCTGAAGCCCAGGGTCCTTACTCAGCTGTTCTCCTTCTTTCCCTTCCCTAGGATCAAGATCAATCATCCAGTGGTCACTACTGCCCAAGTTGCCATCCACTATTAAATTCCCCACCAAGTCTTCCCTGTTTGTAAGCAGCAGGTCAAGAACAGCACAGCCCCTAGTCAGCTATGCCAGCACTTGCACCAGGATGTTGTCCCCAGCACTCTCCGAAAGCATCCTGCACTGCCTGCACACTGCTGTGTTGCCCAACCGGCAGATATCAGGGTGGCCGAAACCCCCGATGAGAAGCAGGGCCTGTGACCAGGAAACTGCCGCTAGCTGTTTTACATCAAGCACTTTCATATCACAGATGAAATGCTCCCCAAATGAAAATGACACACCCCTATCAATTTGCTTTTGTACTTATGAAAAAAACTATGTTTAAAATGATAAATAACAGATAGACTCCTTTTTAGAAAGGCCATATAAATGATGCAAACAAGAACTTCCTGTGTGCCAATAACGTTTTTCACTGTAAAGGCAATACTAGCGCATTACACAGCAATTTGGAACTTGCAGGCAATTAAGATGCAACAAATTATTTTCCTAGCACACACCAGCATGAATTGAGAATAATTCCAAAAGGAGTAAAGACTGTGGACAACACTCAACCATAATCAAATGGCATTTTTAAACAGCAAACTAAACTGTTATGAAACCCAATAAAACTAGTCTTATATAGATGCAAAATACTTGATTCTGACAAAACCAGTATCAGAAAAAGGGTGGGGTGTCCTTTTGATA